TATATATATATATATATATATATATATATACATATAGATATATGGAGGTAGCTTTTGGTTTTTCTCTCTCATAGTTTCTGTTAAGTTTTCTACTATTGTAGCTTACTTTGCTTATATATATATATCCTCACATTATGATAGATATATATAAACCTTGTACTCTTTTTCCTTATATCCTTTTGGTAGGGCTTGGTGATGAGGTCACTCTCCAGAGGTTAAAACTTTTGTTTTCCGCTGCCTTTTTTTTGTTTTCTCTAGTTAGAGGGCCTCCCAAGTTTGAGTATTTTGTACTACTTTAATTATGTAACATGTAGGGAGCCGTATAATTCTCGTGGCTGCTGGAGAAGGAGCTCTGCTAGGGTTTCTCTTTATTTCTGTTTTAGAAGTTCAAAGGCCTAACACTTCCTATTGTTCCACTGGAAGGCACTAGTTTTTCTGTTTGTAGCTGATATAAGAGTTTGCACTTCAATGGCTACTCTTATAGATGTCCATACTGATTCACAGTGGACAAAAGCTACCTATGCTGGTGTTGTTGGCAAAGCCAATGACACCATTCAAGATCCTGTAAAGTTGATTTTCCCCCAGGAATTTCATGATGCAACTACTGGTAAGGGTGTTTGCCCTTGCATCCACCCCCTTGGTCTAAAAAAGGAGAAACTGTTGTGTATTTCTCTGATATTGAGATTGCCTCTTTACATGAAGAAGTCAGATTCACTATAGTGGAAAAGGTCCAATTGGGTCACCCCAAAATGGATCTTGTTTGAAGTTTCTTTGATTCCCTCAATTTTATTGGGCAGTGGAAGCTTGGCTTTATTGATGGCAAACGTTTAATTATCTAATTGTCAGTGGAAGAAGATTATTCCAAGTTAGGAAGACTATGCTAGGATTTTTGCTAAGCAGGCAGTGATAATTGCTGGAGTTACAATGAAAATACAGAAATGGACTAAGGATTTTGACCCAACCAAGGACCCTCCTGTGGTTCCTGTTTCATTTAGGATGCTTGGACTTCCATTACCTCACTTCAAGCTTAATGCCCTTTTTAATATTAGGAGAGCATTGGGCACACCCCTTAAGGTAGATGCTCCCACCTTTAACAAAGCAAGGCCTGCACTTGCATGAATTCAAGTTGAAAGAGACATAACACTCCCAGAGAAGGATGAAGGATTTTGGCAGGAAATAGTTGCCGAACAAAAACCTTTTTACTGCCAACATTATAACATGTTGGCCATACCATTGAGAGATGCTATAGGCTTCACCCCTCAACAAGGAAAACTTTAGTCCATAACTCAAGGAAGGCTGGACAGGTTGCTGAAACAATCCAAAGTATTAATGCTGATAAGATCAGTCAGTTAAATGAAATTAGAGCTGTTAAGCAAATTAGAGTCAATTACACTGATAAAAATAAATCTCCACAGAATTATGATGATACTCCCTCTGGAAATCCTTTGGGGGAACTATCTGACTCACAAGCATCCCCAGAGAGAGCTGTGAGAAAAGAAGTCAATGAAGTTTGTTATAATTACTCCCCCTTCTCCTTCACTTGAAGGGAATGGGAAAAATGTTTAGAACTACCTTCCCAACATAGAGATTTGAAAAACTATTGTTGATATTACTTTTGTTGAGCTAGAAAAGCCTCCTGAGGAAGATTGACATGTTCAAAGTGCTAGAAAGAAGAAATAAAAGACATCTGAGGTGCAACAACATCAACAAGGAACAGGCTCTATGAAGAATGAAGGGAATGCGAGGGCTAAGAATGGTTTCCCCTCTAATTATAATAGATTCAGAACTAGATCAAGGTCTCAGCTATCTATTAAACTCCCATCTATTAATAATTAATATTATATGCTGGAATATTAATGGATCTCTATGTTTAACCTTTTATGTTGGAATATTAGAGGAGTGGCTCACCCCTCCTCACTAAAGAGATTGAAATATCTCATAAGAATCCATAAGATTTGGTGTTTTGCTATTCTTGAGCCCATGGTTACAAAATATCCCCATAATATCACTAAAAAGTTTGCTAATTTCATTTTCTATGCTAATTCAAATAATAAAATCTAGCTATTTTTTAGACCTGAAATTCAGTGCACCTTGCTTCTTGATCATCCGTAATTTCTTCATATGCAATTTTTTATTGGAGCACAAGTGGGATAAGCTACCTTTGTCTATGCAAGCTGTTTGCCTAGCAATCAGCAGACCTTGTGGCATGATCTGTTACAACTGGAACAATATATTTGTTCCTTTTGGTTTGTGGGTGGAGACTTCAACTGCATTACTTCCCCCACTGAAAAAAGAGGGGGCAATGCTCCCCTGCCTTCTGCAATGACCAGGTTCAACAACTTCATCAATAATGCTGGCTTATTTGACTTAGGCTTTGAAGGGCCTAATTTTACTTAGAGTAGGGGTATTCTGTGGGAAAGACTGGACAGACTACTTGGTAATTCCTTTTGGTTTCAAACCTTTCCATATACTATTGTCACACACCTTGTTATGGTTGGTTCGGACAACAAACCTATTCCTTGCTCTATACAGAATTATGTTAGACCTACTAACACTCCTTTCAGATTTCAAAACAAGTGGGTCTTGCATCCAAAGTTTCTTCAGGAAATTGATAAAACATGGGTGTCTGAAATTGAGGCCAATCCTTTGATTAGACTGTGGAAACTGCAAACAAAATTGGCCTTACACCTCAAAAGATGGAATTGGGAAATGTTTAGCAATGTCAATGAGAATTTTGATGCTATTCAAGAAGAAGTACACAGACTTTAAGAGGGTCTCCAAATTGAGCTAAACACTAAATATAAATTTCATCAAGCCAACGAGAGGCTGCTTTTACAAATCAACTACCATGAATGTTTTTTAAAGCAAAAAGCAGTTGTTTCTAAGTTTATTGATGGGGATTGAAATACTAGATATTATCATGCTTGTATCAATTACATGAGGAAGTGTAATATGATCCTAAACATCACCAATTCTTTGAGTTAGAAATTGATCAATGATGAAGAGATTGCTTGTGATGTTGTTCAGTATTTCCAAAATCTATTTACTAGTAAACAAACTGATAAAACCCTATTGAGACTGATCTTTTTTCTGACTGCTAGCATTATGTTCAAGGTTTAAATTTTACTAGTATCCCTTTGGAGGATGAGATAAAGCTTGCTTTAGACTCTATTGATGGATATAAAGCTGCTGGGTCAGATGGGGGTATACTTAAAATTTCTATAAAGCCACTTGGAGCAAGACTAGTAAGGATATTATACATGATGTTCAAAACATCTTTCATGGTGTGGACCCCCTAGATATTTCAGTGCTTCTATCATTAAATTGATTCCAAAGAATCAGAATAGGAAAAGTTTGGGGGATTACAGGCCCATCAGTCTAACTAATGTGATTTTCAAATTGATCAGCAAGATTATTGTTTTCAGGCTTGAGCCACATCTTGAACACCTCATCAGTGATAATCAAGTGGCATTTGTTAAAGGGAGAAATATTACTGATAATATTTTGCTTGCCCAAGAACTTCTGTTGGATCTTGATAGAAAATGTAGAGGAGCAAATGCTATTTTCAAACTTGACATAAGCAAGGCCTATGATACAATCAACTTGGACTTTATTCTTGATACTTTGTCTGCTAGAGACTTTAATGAAGAGTTCATCAATTTGATTCACAGATGGCTGAAGTGTAATGCACATTTAGTTTTGATTAATGGTAAATTCCATGGCTTTTTTAATGCTTCTAGGGGAATCAAGCAAGGAGACCCATTGTCCCCAACCATCTTCATCCTAGCTCTAGATTATTTTTCTAGACAGCTGAACAAGCTGTTTTTTGCCTCACCTAACTTGGCTTATCATCACAGATCCAACATTATTATAAGTCATTTAGCTTATGCATATGATATTATTATCTTCTCAAATGCTTCAAAAAATACTGTCAGAAAGTTGTACAAATGCCTTCTACATTTTCAGCAAGCCTCAGGTATGGATCTTAACCAACAGAAATGTCAATTCCTTGTTAACACTAATTCTATTCATCAGATCAAGCATTGGATATCTAAACACACTTGTTTCAGCTATAGTACTCTTCCCATCAAGTATCTTGGTGTTCAATTACTTAAAGTCAGAACTCTAC